AGCTCGTATAGGTCCTTCCCAAAGATCACGAGTTTTAACTCGTAGAAATCGTACGACTCTTAGGTGAAATAAACCTAGGTGGGAGAGGGGCTTAAGAGACACAAGTTTTAACAGTGTCATTGCATGCATGGAACTACATACAAGACAATTTGTTGCAGGGTACCCTGTTTGTTCTCTGCAAAAAACTTGAATCTAACACTTGTTGGGTATAAGCTTCCTAAGGTTGATCCCAGCTTTGGTTTTATGTTTTTTTTTAAATGGTAGTTTTGTACAAAACACCAGATCTCCATTTTGACTGTAGATAGTATTGAAATAAAGTGATGTTTTATTGTTCTACTATTACCTGATATCTGTTATTGGAAAGAGGCTGCTAAGACACAAAAGCTATGATGATATATTTAGGGTAATCGAGGCTGAGTGGTGTTCAGTATCAGCACAAATTCATAGAGCATGGTATTAATACAACTATTATAATTACTATTATGGCTATAGTATTTTTATTTTTTTAATATTTATATTATAATTATTTTGTTATTTTTATGTTTTTTAAAATGTTTTTATAATAATAGTTTATCAGTATTCTTAATAATAGATAAATTCAATAAATATGTGGTACATTATTAAATGATGTCTATGTATTGTTTACAATATGTTTTCCATTCTCAACAGCTCATGCTTTTATTACCATCTGAAAATATATACAAAAGATATATATATTATTTATCTCTACTGACAAAGTTCACTACAAAATGTATTAACATATTTGCTGTTTAATCTACATATCTATTTTTGTGTTTGCGTGACATGGACATATACCTGCCATGTCTGACTGGTTAAGTTTTAATATTGATCTGCAAAGGCCAATTACACAGTGTATACACTATCATATTTTTGTCTGTCAAATAACAGACAATGTTTGATGAAGCTCTGTCCAGATTATCAAATTTTCTTTGACAAAAAAAAACTTTTCTATACCTATACTGATAGTCATGATGTGCCTATATATGGTCATGATGTGATGTCATCATGGCCACTTTTAGGCATGTCACATGTTTTTGTCAAATAAACTTTGATAGTCTGGATAGGGCTTAACATACAGTGTTTTATAAGACTTTATCTGGTGAAGTACAGCATTGTCTAACTTCTAACAGACATAAAAATACACAGTTTGTTTCAGCAGGTATTTTTTAAACAAGCAACACTGCTAGACAAATTCTGATCAAACATTGTTTGAGGAAAACAATGTGACACTACTGTATATACATGACATGGTTTGTTTGATCAGATATTTTTGAACAAGCATACACTGCCAGACAAATTCTGATCAAACATTGTTGAGTCTGAAAGAAAACAATGTAATACTATATGCCAAAGTAATTCTAATACATTACATGGTTTTTCTTCTTCAGTTTAATTGCCAAAGTTTCCAAATTCCTTACTAAGATTTAAAGAAACTGCTGCCATGCGCAAAATTCAATATCATCTTTGGTCATTTGATTCTGTTAAATTAATTAAATTTTTATTTTTATGGTTCTTTGCTTTTCACGATATTTGCTGCATATCAACGTTCCAATGATTCAAAACATATTTATAGTGTACCTTTCAATCCTTTCTTAGCCCTCCAGTAAAAATTTATCAAAATGCTGCTTTGCATTTGATGTGTTGATTGTCATGGTGATTCATTAATTACTATGGTTATAGTGTATATTGTTGTCATGGTAGTGATATATACGGTAGTTAGTTCATAAGGATTGTGTTCTTGATAAAAATATTTGTCAAAGCTTTAGCCATGATTTATGTATTTTGCCATTTTTTATTTCTAAAGACAATGTCCATCAAGGGTGGATCCAGGATTTTTCATGGGTTGGGGGAGGGGGGTTTGGGGAAGGGTGGTGGGGACTACCATAAATGTGTGTATTACATTGAGGGCAGTATTAAACAATTTAACAAATATGAAAGGTATACTGTACTGTCTGTGTTGAGCCAGAAAATTAAACTTTAATATTTGAATTACATCAATGAATTTGAGTTCTATAAAGAGAACATGTTGATATACTATAGCATGGTTTTTACTACAGTTAAAATATTTTCATCCAGGTGTCCTGTTTGAGGATGTATAAAACATTGTATAAAATAACTTACATTTTAAAGATATAGCTAGATATAGGGCCTGGTTTATTCATATATAGCTTTATGTAATGATTTCCAAATGATTATCAGTAAGTATTTTAATATTTTGTACCTAGAGGCTCCGTCCAGTGGGAGTGTGCAAACAGCTTGTTTGTAAAGAATAGTATAAATATAATAATAATAATAATAAATATATTATAATAGTAAATGCTGTGGGTGATTTTAGTAATTGTCTATGTTTATCAGATTGTTACTGTAAGGATTAGTGAATACATAGCATTGATTTCTATTCATTTTTCAGCCTGTATTAATCTGTGCCTGATGAAAATGTAAACATACTGAGCTGTTGATTCCTGATTGGAATAACCAAAATATAGATACATCAGTTGATTCTAGTGAGAGCCACAGGTAGAGGGTGGTGCTTGGTGGCTCGTTTGGGTCCAGGCCCGGGATTTATCAATCTCAGCTTAGCAAATGTCATAAGTCAAAAAAGTTCAGATGTCCCTAATAAATATCTTAAGCTGATTTATTACCCAATTTTAGCAAAATCTTGGCTTAAAAAATCGTCTTAGATGGCCCCAATATACAATCGACTTTCTAATTTTAAGCAATTATTAAGCTAAGCAATATGGATAAATTTGACTTAAGCAAAAAAATGGACTTAAGACGAATTTAAGCTGATTTCTAGTTTGATAAATCTGGCCCTAGAACAAGAGCTCATGTTTTGGTCAGGGGTATTAGCCACCTGGAGCTGAAGCAATGAAGCATAGATTGTGGATTTATTCATCATATTGATGGTTTTTTAGGCATGGGAAAAGGGTTGTTTTGCTTATCAGTGGGGGTTCACTCAAAAAGGACAAATTATAGAAACCTAGTTACAGGCCTGATTGATCATTTGATTATTGGATTCATTTATCAATTAATAAACTGATTAATTAATTGATTGATAGAATAGTTCACTAACAGATTAATTGATTTATCAATTGACTGATTAATTGATTGATTGACTGGATTATTTGATTGATTTATCAATTAATCGACTGATTAAATAATTAGTTGATAGAATAGTTTACTGAAAGATTAATTGATTTATCAATTGACTGATTCAGTGATTGATTGACTGGATTATTTGATTGATTTATCAATTAATCGACTGATTAATTAATTGATTGATAGAGTAGTTCTCTGAATGATTAATTTTTTATTTATTTATTTATTCAGGTATAAACATATAAACATATAAAAATTGATTTATCAATTGACTGATTGATTGATTGACTGGGAGATAATATATAGACTATATTCCTGACTCACATTATTTAGTATATAACGTGACAATAAGTAAAAATGTTAAATTAAGAACCAAATAATTATTATTATATATAGTACATCTCAATACATTTCATATTCGGGTAAACACAGTAAAACTGAACATCATGTTTATAGTGATTATGTTAAACAATTATAAGTATGTATTTTTAAGTATAATCATGAAAAAGAGACAAGAATAGAAAGATAAAAAATATTTGTATTTCTATTACTTTAATTATATCAAACAAATTTATATAAGATGAACTTAAGTATACAAAATTTATAATTTTTTATTCCAAATAATTGGCCTAGTCTTCAATGATGATAATATTTTTCTTAAATTTCATATAATTTGAAACATAACTCTTTGATTTTGCAATCATGTACAGAATTAACTTTTCCTATTCCAAATAGACCTAGTCTTGAAGTATAATAATAATTTTCTTAGAATATTTATAATGATAATTTTAAACATAACTCTTGTTTTGAGATGATCATGTACAGATAGGTCATTCATGTGTAAATTGTTAATATAAGATAGAATATGTGTTTAATGTATATTTTGTATTCTTCACGTTCTGTTGAAGTGTCTGCACATAAGGGAATTCAGAGTAGTGATGACATGAGGTTTTTTGTATGGAATGTGCCTCATGATGAGGAAATAAACAGTAAATATCCTATATGAAATTCTTATTTATAGTGCTTCCTTGTTTTTGAAAGGCAAATGGGAAAAACCCATAAAACAGCTAACGGACACATAATGCAAAACTATTTAAAATTAAAACGGAACGGTAGAGAAAATCCGATCAGAATGACAAAATAAACTAAGCATCCACTGGAAGGAATCCCAATATCTGCAGACGGATCCGTTTCGGCCTTTCAGGCCTCATCAGTGGGTATAGACCCAAACGAAACGTTCGACCAGCTTATGTAGGGCCCAAACTAGTCCCACGACCACTAATGATTACAGAGCCAAACCAAGGCAATATATATACACAACCCAACATTCACACCATAAACACACTAAATGTAGTTCAATCCAATACAAAACTTACTTGTCAAATGAATGTAAAAAGACAGTTGTTGTTAGAGATCGAAATGCAAGATCTGTTTTTAGCTGATATTCATTATTTTTATTATTATATTTAACAGTTACCGTATTTGTTTTCATAGCGATAATTATAATACTCGCCAATTAACAGATGGCCATGCGGCCTCATAGACCTAATGTTGGTTGGATTCGGATCAGAAAATGAATTTTGTGTCTGATAAGTCACAGCCATGTCGTTGAATAAATAAAATAACATAAATAAGGCCTACATCTCTCTAAATAATTTTCTTCAAACATACTCTATTTTAAAGGCGTTCCTTTTGTTTTCTTTCTTGCTCTTTCCCCTTTTCTTGCAGTGTGTTCGCAGAGATATTTGTGAATTATATATCATGATATCTTAATATGCGCTCAGTGCATTTCCTTATAATCAATTAGGCCCTACCATTAGACCTATAACTGGGCTGACAGATATCGACCATTTTTTAAAATAGCTAGTAATACTAGGAAAATTAATACTAGGAAAATTCCGAGACGTAAGGCCTATCACATGATTTTCTATGCCTTGTACCACGAAGTAAATTTTGCGGAAAATCCTCAAAAACATAAAATATGATTAGAACTTGTAGAGTTAACAAAAGTTTCATCTTATTTTTTATTTTACTTATCTTAATTCATTTTTTTTAAAATTCATCATAAAAGGCACTTTCTTGAAATTCCATGCCAACTATATCGCCATCCCTGACTCCCTTTTTTATTAGGCCTACTTTATTTTAGGAGATTGGAGGCAATGGAAAATATAAGATTTGGGAGTAGGGTAAATACAGACGAAAGCATGAACCATAGAACATAATTATATATACAATAAAAATAATATTTAATATTATTAATAATTAAATCCGAGCATTTACGGGTATGCGAAGAAGAAGCTTCGTAGAGATAAGAGGAGAGAATGACCTCGTATGTGTCAAACTTGACGTTTGGTGTCGCTATATTTCCGCCTTGTAACAAAACATCAACATTAAAAAAGGGAGTGAGAGGCTGAGATCGAGGTGTTGAAAAGCAGATGGAAATAATTTTTTTTTACAATTGATCATTTGAAAAAGCGATTTAAATCTACAATATAATAAACAGGTATATGTAGCAACTCGTTATATTGTTAGTGTATGAGTGTTAACGTCTAGGCTAGGCCTACGTAATTGAAGGGTCACGATACCTGACGTCGGTGCTATGTGGTAGGCTAGGAAGAAAAGTGTGATCAGCCGTGACATGGTGAAAGGGACATTTATTAACTGAGCTTCTAGGCCTACAGTATAGCAGGCCATGTCTAGGACTAGGCTAGGCCTAGCCCGTTCTTTGTGGACACCCCAGAGAGTGACAGAAAGGGAGATTGTTTTTGACAAACTATCCTAAGATGTACTGTCACAGTGGTGATGCTACTTGTCCTACTGTAATCAATGGCGGACCGTAGGGTAAATTGCAGGGTATGCTATGTTATGTACAGTATTTTGGCATATCTAGATCCCCCTGATAAAAATACTCGCCCATCCACTGCCCACAGATCATGCTCAAGTAGTTAAAAATCACCTCAAATCACATTATTTTGTGAGTTGGATTGGATTGAATTGGATTGGATTTATTTGATGTAAACACCAAGAAAGGATAGCCCACGAAAGTCTAGAAGAAGACTTATTTCCAGTGGGGTCCTTCTGGTGGTGATTGGGCAGTACACCGGGAGACAATCCCCTACTCTTTCCGAAGAGTGTACTGTGTTCTTTAACGTGCACATGGGCCATAATGCACACTCGACCAACGGCTTAAACGTCTCATCCGAAAGACGGTGCGCTATTGTAACTTGTATTTCAGCCCTCTAGCTGAAACACAAGGAGAGGCAGCGATGGGAATTGAACTGGGGACCTAGAGATCTCCACGGTTCAGCACACACACAACGGCTACCACCAGATTAGCCGGCTGAGCTAAGCTGCCTCCCATCACCCCCTCACCTAATCACCGATCCCCACTTTACCTTTCTTTCAACCACATCAGCTCCCTTCCATTTCAAGACCCCTACGCCACTGATGCTAGGGCGGCGGACCTGCTAGTAGGAAAAGTTTGTAAGCCTACTACTATACAGGATCAGATTGCGCTATAGTCATAATACAAATGTACCAAGGCTACGAAATATTTGCACAATGCACTTTTGCACACCTTACCCCACCTAACCCAACCCTAACCCAAGACTAGTGGTGCGCAAAAGTGCATGTGTGCCGACTTATTTTAATGCATAGGCCTATTGTCACTCAGGCCTGACCTTAGAATGTGCAGTCAGTACAAGCAAGAGTAAAAATGTAAACCTCTAGGCTAGGCCTAACTGGAAAATGCAAGAGTAACAATCAGTCTCAGACAGAGATATTTAAAATAGAGGCTGGATCGGACCAATCTTGTTAGTCTCTCCAATCATTAATGCATTCACTATGTACAATGGTCCATACCACAAGCCTGTTGGACAACTCTTCCGATATCGTCATGTTGTGAGGCTACAGAAATTGCAGGTACTACCTTTCCATCTTGCTCAGGTTACTTAAATATTCAACAGATTTTTTATCTTCCCATTTTGAAGAAATAACATGGATTTTTGAATGCAAAAAGTAATTTTCTTGACAGAAATACTCTTTACAAGTAAACATTAATCAATGTGATTGTCTGCAGAAAAGAATAAGTCCCAACATGGTTGGTTATTTTGGATACTTCCCTTATCCTGAGTTGGAACAAATCTGATCATCATGAGTCTGATTGTCCAAAGGATCATATGGCATTTTATAGATTGGTTAGTTAGTTACAGTACTGTGAAACACAAGGAAGTCTGCATTTTTACTGCAATTAAGAAACTTATGAAAACCTATTAATTCAGAAATGAAAACATTAATAACATTTTCACTTTCACATTATGATCGTTGTTGATATTTAATTTCTGTTTCTTAGGCTATAAATGGAAGAGACTGTAAGTAGAAGCTCAACTGATTCCTTCGCTCCAAGTGAAGAGTTTGTAGTTGTTTCTCCAGATGACCGATCGCCAAACTCAAACAGCGCCTCCAGCGGAACACAGGAAGGGTTGAATATCGCCGGCAACGGCAACATGGACGAGTTGACTGAAAACCTGGCAGAAGTTCTGAAAGACCAGGCCCAATCATCGGGGGAGGAAGCAACAGCAGGAGAAAATGGTACAACCACAACTGGTGTAGAGAACACGACTGGAGAAGAAAACTCAGAGCATATACAACGTAATCAGTCGTTTGATAACCAGGCTTTGAACAATGATCAGGACAGCCATCAAAAAGAAGCAGGAAAGAGCAGAGAGGAAAAGAAAGAGAACCAACAAGGTGTAACAGACAACGTATTCAAGATTCGTATGAACTCCTCAAGCGAAAGCCCCAAGTTCCAACCAGGTATTGTTACATGTGAGGGTGATGTTTGGTTGCCTCGGGTGGTGGATGCTAACAATATTTGTGAGTAAATGTTTAGTTCTTTAACAGACCATGCACATTCAAGGATACACACAGGTACAGTAAGCATGAAAATAATACGAATATGTTAATTGTATAACTATGTTATGTTAATTGTAATACTTTTGTCTGTGAATATGTTTGAATGTTTGTTTTTTTAATTCTAACTTTGTGCTTCATTATTCAGTACAAATAAAATAAATATTTTACTATATAAAAATATAAGCATTGACAGTTTAAACCAAAAAAAGAAAAAACACTGACCACAAAAATCCACACCACTCTAGGCTTACTTTTATACAGACATTATTTCTCTAATATAATGTAAATTGCTGTTTAATGGAAAATTATGTAATGAATTTAGAAAAAATGAAGACAATAAAGATATAATATGAAAGATGTCATAAATTGTAACTAAAACAATGTATTTAATAGTAAATGTAAATACGACTTTGGTGAACAGACTGTAATTCCCTGGTCAAATAAAAAGTATGTATATAGGTAATAGTTTATTCTGTCGAAAGTCATGAGCCATCTTGTGATCACATGTAAACATTTTGAGTGATCTTTTCATTCCAGTATATTGAACATTTATAACCTGCTAATCATTGAATTTTTATGACTAGCTAGAAAGATAACTAATAATTCATGATTAACCTGTTACACAGATGGTTGAAATAATGATGACCTATGTTTTATTGTCATTGAATATTCATGAATAGATAACAAGTTAATGTCTGAAAATTTAAGACTAATTTGTTCCTGTTGTAGTTAAATACGCCCTATTATTACCTGCATTAAATATTTATGACTTGCTAATAGTCTTTCAAAACTAATGTCCTACAAAGAATATTGAACCTTCATTCATTGCATTTATTCAAAGTTAGTATTGTCTAATTAGTTAAATAGGACTAACATGCTGCAAAGACTATTTTAAACTGCTGTCGTGATTATTTAATGCTAATGACTGGCTATCAGTATACTTTACTTTCAAGGCTTAATAAAGATGGCTGAATATTCATGACATGCTAATTAGGAATATTTCTTTATTTTAAATAAAGTATTCTAATATTAATGAACTGTTTTTAATGTATAGCAATTGTACAGTCAGTCAGCTGTCATAATGAGAATTCCTGTGAGTCACTTTGATGATAGAATTTTTGATTAGCTTGTTTGACATGCTTTAATTAAAAGGATTTTCCTTGATGCAGATTTACTCCCAAGGCAAATTGGATTGGATTTATTCGGTGTACACACCAAGAATAGCCCACAATCCCCTACTCTTTTCCGGAGAGTGTACCTCGTTCTTTAACATGCACATGGGCCATAAATGCACTAATGGCTTAAACGTCTCATTCGAAAGACGGTGTGCTATTGTAACTTGTATTTTAGCCCTCCAGCTGAAACACTAGTAGAGGCAGTGATGGGAATTGAACCGGGGACCTAGAGATCTCCACAGTTCAGCCCACACACAGTGGCTACCGCCAGAATAGCCGACTGAGCTAAGCTGCTTTTTCTAAATCACTAACTATCGGAGGTCACTTTTCTGTTGGTACAGTACAGTATCTCTTCAAGGGGTTGGCTAGCTGGTGGGTCACCTAGGCCTACTGTAGGATTAGTTATTGGATAAACCTGGCCCAGCCTTCATGGGTTTTGATGTGAAATCTGTAGGGGAAGAAAGAAGTGAAATAGAATCATTTTTAAAATCAGAAACATCTGGCCTGAGATCAGAGAGACAACACATAGACTATTAATACAGGAATGCTCTCATTACTGTACAATCGTCAGTTAGGTGAACTTCGAAAAATGAATTGTCTTGAGCGTTTTTGGTCAGCTTTGATGGACTCATTAAACATTTCAAGGGTTGAGAAGGAGGGCTTTAATGTATCCATTTTACATTGCTTTTGTACTGTAGCATAATATAAATTTATACTGTTTGTAAGATGTCTGCTTCAAATTATAGTTCCATATGAGAACATTATAATCAACACATCAATCAACTTTGCTGTTACATTTTGCAAGACTAAAATGATTTGCTATAAGTCCCTTGTTAACCCTGAAAATTTGAACTCTATCCAAGTGAAATCACATTGAAATACTGACAGTAAAATACTGTTTTATTGTAAATGTGCTAAAGCAATTACTTGGCTGGTATACAGTAAATGGAATGGCAGAGGTACAGGATATGCATTTACTAATCATAATTTAGTTAGAAAAAACCTTGCTGGCATGGGAAACCTCAATTTGATTAATACTATAAGCAATGATAAGATGATTGTTGGTAAAGATGACGATAAGATGATGGAAATGACATTAAAGAAAATGAGGATTATGATGATGATTATGATATTGATGCTATTGATAAATAAGGATAATGAAGATAATGTGAATAATTATGATAATAATGATACTGTTCGATGATGATAATGTACAGTAGGTAGTGATGGTGATAATAAGATGAGGTGAGGATGATTATCATGGTATGACTTTGAAAATGATGAGGATGATGGTAAGGAGTAGAACCATGGAGATGATACAGTAAAGATAGTTACTTAAAATGATAAAAGAAGATATTGAGGATGATGATGGTATCGTAAAAATAATAATAAGAATCATTTACTGAACTGTATACTCTACTATCTTGCCTGATTGCATAGGAAAATTATTGGGCTTCATCTTACAGTGATGCAGTTGTAGTTATGGAGAAGGCTTTTTTCATGATTTGGATTATCAAGGTAGTCATGTTTAGTGGTTATCAATTGTAAGTAATTAAAAGCATTGGTTTGGAGAAGAAATTAAGAAATTGTTGTATAGACTTCCACAAAACAAATTAATTTGTCAAACCTTATCGGACGCTTGATGTACTTCAGATAGAAGGAAAATGTAAATTTGGCCAGTTACATTTTTGTTTTGCTTTTACTTATTATTAAAAAGTAGTTCTTAGAAAATGATTTTTTAAATTATTTGTTTTTGTTTTTTGTTATCAAACAAATTAAAACTAGATGAAATTATTATTGTTATTATTATCAATTATTTGTTTTTGAGGGTGTGCCCTCTAAATTTGAGGAGCTGATCAAAAGAGAACCCAAGTTTGATTTGGTTTTATTTAGTATGAAACACACAAAGGATTAACACATGAATGTCTTAAGACTTGCATCCAATGATATCCTTTTTATTTTTATTTATTTCTTCTTTACCCTGGCTAGCCTGGTCAGTGCAAAAGCAATGTTATCTTCCAGGGCCCAGCTTTTTGGTTGTAAATTCGTCAGAAAACCGAAGGCAAACCTCCTTTTTTCTGAAGAGTGTGCTGTACATGAAGCTAGGGAGTGAATGTTTTGGTAATTGAATCATGATCCCATGATCCTTCAATCTAAAATTAACATGAATTTTATGAGCAGGGTGCTAATAATCAGATACTTTATTCATGGATTTATTAATTATCACATAATACATTCTGTCTTCCACTCTTCCTGATATTTAATGGGAGAATTGTTATCACATCTTAAAGATTAAAAAATTAAATAATGCAACTACACTACAGCTGTAATAGAAATTTTGCATGTGGTGGGTCAAAAAATAGAAACAATTTCAGTTTGGTGTTTTTTAGTGCAGTCATACTATACTGAAATTTAGTCTTTATTACTGGGATTAGTGGGAAAGACTCAATACAGAAAGGTATGTCATATATGGATTAATTCAATTACTGAGCCATATCGGCTATTGTTTAATTAGCCGTGGAATGAAAGCTACTGTATTATATGAGTACGGAATGTGATTATTAGATATAGAGAGGCAGTGGTGAATCAGGGAGGTGTATTAACCACTATGTCTTAAAGACATAAAGAGCCTATAGTATGCTATGAACAGACTACATTTTTAAAATATGGCTCTGTAAAAAATTAGTCATTTAGCGTCCGGCCACCAATTATTTTTATGATTTGGAGTATTTATTTTACTTATTTTTTTAATAAAAAAAAAAAAAGTTCAAACTACTGAATTATTGAATTTTCCAAAAGAAAAATTGGCCCAAAATTTGATGGTCGGGAGGTATACGCTGAACAAATAATTTTTTTTACACAACCTAAAGAATAACACTATAATATAGATGTATTTGACTGAACAAGAAAATATTCTATAAGACGTTCTTTAAGTCTACCCCTAATTTTTGTGTAAATACACTGCAGAATGCCTCCATTCTGGTTAGTTCACTTCCTAACCTCACAATTATGTTTGCTTCAGATAAGAAATTGTAAAAGTATAGTGAATCAAATATGGAATGAATTGCATTGAAATTTAATGAAATGAAATATTTTTAGCTTTAGATTAAATTTTTAATACCTCAACCCTTGCTTAAGCACGTACACGCTGATCATCTGATGGATAATCAATTGAAATCCAAGTTTAATGTTTTTGACATGTCTATACAGTACAAGGATATAATGGAACTGAGATTTAAACAATGCATGATTAACATGAAACAAATTACTGACGATTTTACCCTTTTCAATTCTTTGGTTTGTTATCTTGAACAAGGTATAAAAACTACAAAATTAGCAATTTCAACATTTATTTAAAGAATTCTTTAATACTTTTAGTTTTCATCAGACAATAATATTTTATCCTAAACTTGATCCTTAATGGTTATCCCAGATGTAGGCATAAAATTAATGTTGTTTATTAGTAGCCTTAAGTCCTGTACAGACTCTTAGACTATATGACATGCCCAAATATGGTCATGATGACATCACATCATTCCATATATATATAGGCACATCATGACTAAATATGGGCATACAGCATATAATTCAATCACAGACCCTATGAATATGATTTAATGAAGCTATAGTATAAACAGTAAATGTTTATAGACTATACAGTATTTTTTTTATGTGTAATGTTTGTTGTTGCCATGTGACTTTGGTATCGTTGTGTGTGCATGTGATATTACTGTATTGTATTACCATGTATGAATTATTTAGTTTTCATATTTTTCCATGTTTCACTCACTGGCATCTTTCCATCTGACTATATTTGCCAATACTGAGTGGATATCCCTTTACGAAACATCTGTTATAAAAGTCTTTTTTCATGCAGGGAATTATTAGCATGTTTAAACCTTTAGACTCGTGTTAATATTAAATTCAGAATAACAAATCATGACGCAGTCAAAACATAAAGTAAACATTCTCCCACTTGAGAATTAGTTGAGGGTGAATGCTTTATTCCTGTAGTTGTAGCATTCAACATTCTTTCCCTAAAATCAGATCAGTCCTTATTTTTATGCATAGTTAATCTTCCTGTTACATGTTATACCACTTATGTATTTGATTTCCCTCATATTCATTAGTCAATGCAGGTAGGCCTACTTCAGTCCATCTCCTCAGTTCATCACAATTTTCCCCTTTCATTTTTTCATGTTTCATTTTAATGTTCAATGCACTATAATAATCTACCTCATAATGCCCACAGTTACCTATCATGTCTTTACCTGTCTTAGTCAGTCCAAGAAGGTATAAAATTTTTATACCTCCTTGGTCAGTCCTATTACATTACTGTCTTTCTTATGACCATTTTTTGTGACTATTGTCTATGTGAAGCTCTCGCCAGACTATTAGATTTTCTTTGACAAAAAACTGTTGTATGCCTATTATATAGTCATGATGTGTCTATATATGGTCCTGATGTGTCCATATATAGTCATGATGTGTCTATATATGGTCCTGATATGATGTCATCTAATGATCATATTTAAGCATGTCATGTTTTTGTCAAATAAAATTTGATAGACTGGACAGGGCTTAAAAATCTAACAATGTTGTTCTGCTATATACAAATAAACAAATGTGACCCAAGATCATAAACGGGCTGTAAACTCGCACTGCTCTGTATTGAGAAACAAGCCTCAATAGCCAGAACAGGCCGTAGAACATGAATTTTGTGTGAATTGGGTTTTTGGGTAATAAAGTATAACTATTAATCTTATTATTCCTGAAGATTGAGTTTAAAATTCCAACTGTAAATGGTAAAATTTAGCCATTTTCGGATGGGTTTAGTGAAGAATGAATAGAAACCTGCCGAAAATAAAAGCATTTTTCTCAAAACTTGATTTAAGAAAGTTGATAATATGATAATTATTCAAATGGTCATAACTTTGCTTCCATTGAGTTAATTTAACTGCCATTTTAAAGTAAATGATATGTTTTGTGCCACTGTAACAAAAACGTATTTTGGTCTGAGGACGAGTTTACAGCCCTTTTATGATCTTGCGTCACAAATATGCTATATCATTTGTGTTGTTAAGTAGCACAGTTTAGCTTCAAACAGCTGAGCCAGAGAGCATTATAGACTGTATGTTCTGCAAGTACATGTAAATCATTCAAACACTAGATCTTTTGTTGAGTGTTCAAACCGATTCATGAATGATGTCAACATGTCTGAGTGAACGTTACCTCAACTTGCAATATACCCAGCATGTGCACTTATAGTGTTCAGCCTTTACTTTTATTTATTATATTAAACAATCAATTAAAGGAAAGGTATACATTGGAAGTAGGCTTTTTAAACTTGAGTCAGTACATGATAAAAATTTTAATAATTATTTGGAGTGAAAGTGTAATAAACTTGTTCTCTTCTCTTCTAGCTGGTGAAGTGAGTTCCCCACCACCTAGTTCCAAAACTGTACCCTTGGAAAATGATTGCACATTGTTTAACCGGATTGTTTACCTGGGGGCAGCGACTGTAGATGCCCCCAAGAGTGAGGAAGAGGCTACAAGGAACATGACTATCTTAAAAGCTCAACAATCCCAGAATTCCATTCAGATTATTTTGTCGGTGCCAGGAACGTCAGAAGGGGCAGTCAGGTAAGAGGGTTGTTGAAGTTCAATGTTGTTTTCGTACTACAATGCTCAATCATCAACCGTAAAAAAAGTGCTAAATAATAAAATAGTATATTATAAGTATTCACGCTGTACCAGCTTCTTTCAATAAAAAGTTTTTGTGTCTATGCCCCCTCGGGGGAAAACGCACTATGTTGTCGTCTGGCAGTTAAAGATGGCTGAAAGGTAAATCTGGTGGAGGTGCATGATGGGTCATGTGTCATTTTAAGTAGCTTGTTACTTTACAAAATTCATTAAAAAAAATACAACACCACACATTTCCTGATAACTGAATCCCATATGGATACTTTATTAGTAAACATAATATATTAATATATTAATTATTAGAGCATAGACTGCACAGCGCCACCGATGAGAAAGTTAATTTATATACAGATTAATAATCTGAAAATTAAAGAAATCGAGTATGGGACGCCAATTAAATTAGGTATGGCATGCTTGTTACTTTACAAAATTCATTAAAAAAAATACAACACCACACATTTCCTGATAACCGAATCCCATATGGATACTTTATTAGTAAACATAATATATTAATATATTAATTATTAGAGCATAGACTGCACAGCGCCACCGATGAGAAAGTTAATTTATATACAGATTAATAATCTGAAAATTAAAGAAATCGAGTATTGGACGCCAATTAAATTAGGTATGGCATGCACTAAGCGCAATAAAGAGTGAGTGATCCAAAATTTTGGCCTGGAACCCAGGCTATTTAGGGCATAGACACACGCTCCTGCTGGGAGCCTATTTTTGTTGCCATTGCTACTCCTGTGGAAAGGCCCATTAACATGTAGCAAGTACCATTATACAGTCAGGAGCCAGTATGATCCGATATCACAGTTATGAGGACCAGTACAAAAAAAAGAACCTTTATGGACAGTGCAATAAAATAAAATCGATGAAGAGGAAAACAAAAGTACATGATACTTAACAATAATTGCCTACTATCGTATTTACTGCACTATAATACTTGTGCTACATCATCATTCCTGTCATGTTGAGATTAGGATAAAGTGCCTACTTGCACTTTAGCATTTAAGAAAGTTTAAATTGTACATTAACTCGTTACAATACTCCATAATTGAGAGAAATCTAGAAATTCTTGAATCTCTGATGAAAGTATGAACAACGTATTGTCGTTAAACATTTCCAACTTCTTGATTGAGCATGACAAAACAATATGGTAATCAGCAGAAATGTTGTTAGTGAGGTTTTTTTAAAAATGTATTTAGTAATTTTGATGGAGCACACATTCATTTCAGAATAAACAACTTTTTTCGTAGTCATTTAGTACAGCATTGTTCATAAACACTGTGTATAATTGCTTGAGAGCCCACTCTCACCTCAGTCCCACCATTGGTTGAGGCTTAGGTGAGGAAATCTTTATTTTCAGCACCTGGTGTGAGAGTTTAAGATTTGATTTGAATGTACGGTATGTACAGGTATGAGTTTAAACCAGATATGTCAGACTTGGTATGCATACTGCTACACAAACAGCTTTCAAGAAGAGTTAGCAATAACGGAGACATTATTCCTCAAAGTAACACAATACTTAAACAGCCAGTGTAGAATGGTGAGATTTGTAGAAGTAGAACTGATTTTCTTCATTTTTATCGTTAAGGTTATTGGAGCCGGATGGTAAGGCTGAGATTGCTCATTACCGCGTGACCCGTATCCTCTTCTGTTGCCGCGGCCAGGCCAACGGCAATGAGATGGATTGCTTTGCATTTACATGCAGCTACGGAACACGTGACTCGCAGTTCTTTCAATGCCATGTTTTTAGATGCGAGATTCCGGAAGCGGTAGGGATTTAATTTTTTTTCCTCTGTATTGAATATTTTTAAGTTGACTAACTTATAAGTATCTATATCAAAAGGCATGATGGTATCACTTACCAGTATATATTTATTATTAACTGTATGTATTCTTAATTAATATTATGTATTTTGAGGTACTAATATCCAAAGACCCACTTATTATTCGCAAATAGAATGTGAGTATGGTGAGTCCGATAAGTGACAAACGTGAGGCCATAATTGAATCAATTATGACCTCACGTTTGTGATGCTTCGTAGTCACCATACTCATACTCTAGGTACTCATATACAGTTAGAATTACTATATTTTACTGAGTACAAGCCTATGCTTGAGTAAAAGGCTCACCTGGTGAGTTGATTGGCCGACTGGTTAAGTCAGGGGCACCGTAACCTTCAGATATAATATCGACGCTGTTTTGAATGGCTCACTCGCCAGTGGTTCCGGTGGTGGAACAAGTCTTCCTGGATAAGGACGTTATACGGTAGGCCCAGTGTCCGCATTTGGCTTGTGTGCACTTTAAAGAACTCAGTACATTTTTGAGAAGAGTAGGGGGTTACCCCGGTGTACTGGTCCATTCAGTCCACTGTTGTTTAATGGATATGCCACGTAGGATAGTGATTAAGTTCACTGATTGGCATATCCTTGGTGCGCATGCCTTAAGAAATGAAATGAAAAAAATTATAAGCCTTGTGTACAATTTCAGCAGTTTAATGTGGAAATGTGGAAATCATCATGAAGTGACAGCTAGCATTGAAGTTAAGTTCTGAGCATGTAGCATCATTGAAGTGCCATCAACATTTCTAATTTTGCATCTTTGAAAAAAGTAAAGCTGCATTGTCAGTATATAGCTTCAGTAAAAGCCACTCCCTAACATTTTTAGCCAGATCTCCATGCTTATACTTGGTAAAATAATAATTATGTTAATTCATGACTACAAAATTGTAAAGATTAATTGATCATTTGTTGTACCTTATATCATTTTATTGTTTCCGTTTGAGGCCAAGCTGTTTGTGCATTCTGATTTTAATCACAACTTAAACCTGTTTCAAACAGTCCATCCTATGAAATAGGAAAACATAGTGGTCATGTAAATCAAAGAATGAATGATTTGCTTGTGGTTGACTTTTAGTATTACATACATTTTATCAAAAACAATGTGCATTCATTTAGTGTTTTAAAAGTATTCTTGAGGTTTCTTATCAGTGACGGTAAGTTTGATTATATACAGCCAAAAAATGTTCTTTCTTAATAACGATTCAGTATGTTTATTATCATTATTTCTGACTCATTATACTGTTTCTGCCTGGCAGGAATCCTAGAATTTACATTTGATTAAAGTTATTATTATTTCTATTGTTTAAATTATACATAATTCATCCTGCAGCATCTGTAGCAGTCACTTCAAAAGGAATGAATCATCAAATTATCAGGAGAGTTTAAGATATTTAAGATGGATGAATCCAGACTTAATTACTATGCCAGGTTAGAAATAAGAAAAATAAGGTTTTATTTATACTGGAAAATATATTCTATTATTGGCCGTATTCGACTGGTCGTTCTTCGGTAAACCACGCCCACCTGCACAGTGGTAAATTCCTACTAAACCAAGACGACCAGTTGAATAGAAAACTTGTAAATACTCGACAAAACAAAATGGCTGCATAGTTACCGCGTTACAAGCTGCGTAATCAAGATTGCTTCGGCTTGTGGTAGTATGAATTTTTCGTAAAAGAAATGTTTTCATCCAGTTTTTGAATTCTGTTAGGCTACAATTATTTTTTGACTTCATATAGGTAGATATTATAATTTTTATTTTCTAAAATGTAATCTAAATTATATTAATGCAAATGTTGTTTCTAAACTGACCAATTGGCCATGTTTGTTTTGGTCACGTGGATAACTTAACGCAGGTTATGTTAATTTTCGTTGTCAACGAAGTCTATTTTACAAACCAGTCGAATGAAAATTCGTAGTCAACAAAATGAACCAGTTGAATATGCCCACTATTATTACTAATCTTAATAAGGTAGAAGATAAGATAAGTTGTTAGTTATAAATATATAGTACTAGCCTTTTTGTGCATGCAAGACTCCACTATTATAGGCTTGCATGCATTGTATGCTTTAGGTTTACCAGAGGCGAAGTTTCATTCGGTATAGAAATCTACTTATATTTCTGTTTTGTGAGTGTATATGTTGATACACTCGATAAACACAATATTACATCTCTAATTGGAATGCCCTTTCTGTTTCATGGAAAACACTATCAACATGTTCTTTGAAGCAAAATAAATAATTACTGGGAAAACTTGAGCAAGTCATGTTTAGTTAATAATATAATGCTATATAAAGTAATAACATAGATATTATAAATTTGATAATACAAAAATTACACATAAAATACTGTAGTTTGATACGATAGTATAATAAATGCAATGATAAATTAAAATAATTGAATAATTCATGATCAATATGAAATAAATGACAGGATACAACATATGTAGTATTAACACATTTCAAGAAATGTGAAACCAGGAAATAGGTATTCTAATGAGAAAATGTAATCTAGAATACAGAAAATAGTATGATAGAGGGCTCACTTTAAGTTATTAGCATCCTGTTATTATTGTGATAGCGTCATTAAATTTTTGTATTAAAGATATTGCTGATCTACTACAGAATAAAGTTCAAGATTTTAATTGCTTAATATAAATATAAAATCTTATAATTAAATATTAAAACAACAAAAATATTTTCCTTGTATAAATGATACATACACATAAATAGTCCTTTTCTATGTTCGTTATATGTCTGTAGATTGTCTAGTAATTTATGGATTTTTGTTTTATTTGAATTTAATGTTTTTTGCAGGTTTTGCCATTCTTTAAATTCAGATTTATGATATTATAGAGAACTAGATAGAGAGGAGATGATTTTACTTCAGATGTTATAATAAAATTGTATTCCTTACTGCACATTATAATTTAATAATCTCAGGGATTCACCGTTAGATTCGAAATGAAAATACAAAATTTGAATTTTTATGAAAATAATTGACAGCTGAGCAATAGTTTAATATTTTCTAAGACAGAAAATCCTTGTGATCTATATTAATTCAAATTACAGAATAATGAATACAATGATTAGAAGGTTCATGTAATGTACAGTAGTCATTCTTATTCGTGTCTATTACTTTTTTTCGCAAATGGACGAAAGATATCAAAATACAAGGTATTTGTGCGGATGACCTGAACATTTTAAGATCAGCTTATATGTTTTTCCTACAGGCTGTAAAAGAAATTGCATCTCACTGCGTAAAAGATAACTTTTAAAAGATTTACTGACAAAGTCGTACATGATGCGTCATAGTTATTTATGCATGCTAAAATTAATAATTAATATTACATTTAATGGTTACTCATGGATGCAATGTGTTACAATACTTTGGATTAGTCATACGGTACGTTGTAGCAGAAGATGCTGTACGATGAATGTTGTGAACTGTGATTATGTTGTGTGTAGGTATGTACAGTAATATCTTATTCAATATTTCTTCTGATGATTTCCTGTGCTATATATTTGGTCATCGTAATTGCTTACATTCTACAAGCATTTAGTTCGTTTAAAATTGAATCATTAGTAGTAGCTATATGTTTTGCATACGCAATGCAATTCTTTATTAAACTGTGTGATGTGTGTATGTGGTATATTTTATTAGTGGTTGGAGCAGTTATTATTTTTTTATATGGGATTTCAGTTATGAGGTCGGAGGTTCAAACCCCTCATTGTTCATTTCCAGTTGAAGAGATTAAAGCAATCATCTAGGCAAGGGTGTCTAAACTCAAGTTTCTAAACTCAAGTTTCATAGGCCTTGGCTCTTGTCTGTATTTAAAATATTAATGATTAGCTAGAACTACCTAGTTTTAATGAGGTGTTCAACCTAGTATAAAGTTGATTTATCCAAAGATTTGTAGTTAAATGTATCATATATGCTGCCTGTAGTTTTAAGCCTGGTAGTTTTCCATTTCTGTCCACCAAGGATTGCACTGGTATACATAAAATAGACCTATGGCAGCTATTCCATAAACATTCAATTTGTGTAAAAGTGTGAAGTGCAGAGAGACGGGGAAGGGAGTGGTTGACATGTATTTTCCTAGACTACAACCCTAGTTTCCAAACTGTATGCTCACCTAGCTAATCTCAACCCAAATTCATACATTACGTTTTGTTTACAGGAGATGTCACCAGGTTATGCATCTACCAAGGTAAATAGAGGGCGCTATACCATATCATTCATTATTTGCAGCATGCTCATTTTTACAACCAGCTGTTTGTAAACCTTTTTTTTTAATTCAAAATTTTGGTTACAAGTGCAAATATGCCAACGTCATTAATACTACCCTTTACCCACCTTGTTCCCCACCTACACATTTCTCCGACCCTTCCCCGCCATTGATTTCATTTGCTAATATATTTTATAAAACACACAACTAAATTGGCCATTGTTGACCATCGACTATTAAAAGAAGTGCCAATGAAAGAAGTGAAAGAAGTGCTACTGTATTATGATCGAACCTGGATTGGATGAAGCATAAATATACAAGAGCAATAGTGAAAAGTAAAGCAATGATTTCAACTAAACTAATATATAATGCAGTCCTGCTTTAAAAAGGCATAATTCTAGTTTCATCTTTTGTTTTGATTTATTTTGATAATTTTTTCATAGATTAATTTTGCTAATTTGATGCACTCATTTTTTGATACAGATGGATCATGTGCTGTATGCACACTAACTTTTGATGCGATTGAAATTCACAGATTCATTGATTATTTCATTTATCGATTGATTGATTGATTGATGAATTGATGGATTTTTTTACTGATTGATAAGGAGATTTATTGATTGCTTGATTAATTGAAAAATTAATTTACTGTGTGTGTTGTGAAAATGATGTGTCTATCACAAAAAAACAAATTGCAATGGGAGCATGAAGGTTTTTTTTTTTTTCTATTAAGGTAGTGAATGGCAACAGAAATTTAAACTGATAGTTTAAGAATAATAAAATTAGAGAATCACCACACCATTGGAATTGCACAAATTATAGATTTTATACATTCTTAATAACTAAAGTGTTATTTAGCATACATTTATGCTTACTGTAGATACTGTACTCTATATAATTTATTCTCAACTATTTTTAAAAATGTAAATAAGGAAAACCCCCAGAAAAGCAGAAGGTTTTCCCACATGTGAAATATCATGCCATTGTCTTGTTAGCCATGTTTGTACAGTATTGTATTAATTTTGACAAAAATGCAAAAGTTTTACTGAGCATGTGTCTAAACGACAAATTGTAGTATTTTGCACATGCGTGGCCACAAAGCTTAGCGGTGCTCTGTAGTAGCATGCGGGCTGGCTTTGCCCTGCATAGGCAGTTAGTGGGTGTGGAATGCGGGCTAAAAGTGCACTGGCCGTGATCGGTACTGTCACAGATCATATACTGTAAAGTGGGATGTTCGCACTTAGACTTTTAGGCAAAGTGACCAGGTGCAGTACATGGTTAGTTTGACCAAAAAATATCCAATGCAAACAGGGCTTTCGAATACACTGTAAAATAGATCAGTGAAATCATTCAATGGTCTGCATGTGTAGTGAACATTAAATGTTTCTCCAAATGTGGAAGACCCATTCAGTGGTATGTAATATATCATGAAATAGTTCTACACATTAGAAGACAACCATCAACTGGAATCATTCATTGGTTTCTACATTCTACTTCTACAATGGACCGTTCTGGTGTGTCAATCAAACTGAACAACTGACCAATCAGAACAGTGCCAGGAATATGCGTCCGTCCAGCAAGCAAGTGTATTATCCTACAAATGCTCCTGTTCGCATATGTCTTAACACTGTCGTTTTGTGCGACCTTATCAACAATATCCAAGGGACGGGGCATAGCGCAAAGGTCTGTTCAGTGGGAGCTTTTGTTTTGTGCGACGACGCGACGCTAGAACGGAATCACCCATGCGTGACCATCCTACCTGGCGTCCTACATTCTCTGCATACATAGATTTGGCCAAATTGCATTCCAGAATCTATTCGACGAGGTGACCTTAACGTTCTTGCATGTGCAGATGACTTTTAGTGACGTCATTACGTTCTACGTCCTACTGTCGTCTTGCAATCGAAAGCTCTCTAATGGGAATGTGCATCAAGAAGTCAACTTGTGTTCTCGCATTTTCTACATTCAGCGATTGTGAGTGAAGAAACTCACTATTTTTTAATGACCCATAAGGTATACTAATATTCTTTCACGTTTCTATTAAGTCAATTGTATATTGTTTATATTTCATAAAGCTAATCTTGATTTTGCAATTCTAGATGACATTACTCATATTTAAATGTAATCAATCTCATTTTTTTCCTTTATAAAAATTTATTTGCATGTCAATCATATTTATTTTGCTTTCCAATGTTCAGATGCAGCTTGTTACCTCATTAATTAACAACCCTTGTTTTTATACAAAACATTTATAATGTAAAAAATCATTATTATTTACTTGTTAAAACTTGGTTTTTGTTTAACATCTAGCACCTGGGAATTGTTCTGTGGGATTTTATGTGGTTTTAACTAAAATGTATTAAATATTTTCATAAAAAAAAGAGTATCTTAAATACATCTTATTTTGGAAAAATATTTTTATATTGTGCTATATATTTTTCTTGGTGCCTTTTAATAATGGTTTCTCTTTTTATTTGGGTGTTGGATTTGTGTTGGTTTTATTTTTGATTTTACATCAGTTTGAAGAACATTGCTAACTGGGTAGTAACCCAATGCATGGCAAATCATAAACTAGAGAGGGAGCTATGCCTTTTTCACAAATCGGTAGATATCTTGAAGTGATGACAAACAACCCAAGTCAGTGGTGCGTAACCAACAGAAATATGATAAGCTTTGAGGCTAAATGTGGCAAAGACAAGCCAAACCAGTCACTCGTCAGAAAAATCAATTTTTAGTTATTAATACAGGGTTTAATAGTAAAATGAGAGCTATAAAATGGTAAAAGAATAATTTAAATCCGACACTTCGTTATTAAGTTACACGAGTTTAAACATACAGCTGTTTAAAGAACAATATTGAGAAATCAGCCTTCAAAGTTTACAATTTCAGGCATTTCTTAGGCAGAAACCATCACCAAATCGTTAAAAGTTGTTGTTTTAACATTGAAAATGAGGAAAATAACAGCATAGCATAATGTATAGATATATAAAGGTTAGTTTAGTGCAATAAAATAGATTTCCAAAATTTTGAAATTCCAGCATGTTTTGGCCATTACCTCCAAAACAGGATTTGCGAAGAGTGACTGGTTTGGTTTGTCTTTGCCACAAATTATTGTCCTCATGTTATCTAAAAATTCATAACTCTATAACGGAGGGTCGTATCACATTATTTTTTCTGGAAAATGTTCTTAAAAGATTATTCTACACCACAATATGATTGAAAAAAAAAATGTTTTTGACCTCTGAAATCAAGATGGAAAAAGAAAAGCCTATCTAAATAGTGTATTACAATAGGCCTATGCAGTGCAGTACAGTATAGTAGTACTAGTAGTACTCTAAGCCAGCATTGTTTTAGTTGCTATATGAGATTTTCCTGTGTTAAAAACATGATTTACTATACTATACTTCTTTATAATAAGAGAAATCGGTACCGTATATTATCGGTACCTGGAACGGTATTTAACACGAAAATACTATGCTACTGCACTGTAATGCATAGGCCTATTTTAATACACTATTTAGATAGGCTCTTTTTTTCCATCTTTATTTCAGGGGTCAAAAACATTTTTCAATTTTTTTTTTTTTCAATCATATAGTGGTGTAGAATAATCTTTTAAGAACATTTTCCAAAAAAAAAAAAGGAATGTGATACGAGCCTTCATTATGGAGTTATGAATTTTTAGATAACATGAGGACAAGAATTTAGCCTCAAAGCTTATCTTATTTCTTTTGGTTACGCACCACTGACTTGGGTTGTTTGTCATCACTTCAAGTCTACCGATTCGTGGAAAAAGGCGTATTCCTTTTGAGAAGGGAAGTTGTAGCTTGGTGGTAAATGCTAAGATGATTTATATTTTGAAAAGCTAGTAATGTTTAAGAATATATTAATTATGATTTTTAATCATTTTTTTTTTCTCTTTGAAACAACTAACAGTAGGATGCTGTATTCACCAAGTCTTAACTATTGTATGAGGCTAGTGCAATTGTAAAGACTAAATCCACTGGCTTTATAGTTGAAATTTTTCATTGTTTGAAATTTTTACAAACTTTTTATTTTTATGCATATTTTTTAACTATGCCAATTGCCCAATCATTTTGTGCATGTTGTGCATTTTAATTAGATAATCTAATTTTCTCTGAAGACAATTTTTCTCCTCAGTATTCTGTTTAAACTTTTTTGTTTTTCATTATCTGTTCATTTCTCTGTTAAAAACTATAAATGTTCTGCAGTAAAAATCAGATATCCAACCCTGCAATTTTATTTACAGATATTATGTACCTGTATCATATATTTAATTTTTCTTTAATTTACTACTTGAATATTATAATTTTAATGTAGAATTTTT